TCAGTAGTTGCCCAGTTTCAAAGAAATCTAATATAGCTGCATTAACTTCATCCCCCACTATACTCCAAGTCTTCTTATAAAACTCACTATTGAATCTATCTGGGCCAGGGCTTTTATTGCTATCTATGTTGAACATGGCATCTTTAACTTCTGCTTTGGTAAACTCCTTAATTAGAAATGTGTGCTGATAGATGCTCACTTTACTTCCTGATTGAAGGACTTCACTTTTGGCATGAGTTCTACGGATGGTTTGCCCTAGCAAGCTTTTGTAATATTCCAGGAAGTGATTCTCAACTAGAACTGGATCTTCAATTAGTTCACCATCCTTGTTCACAAAGGATCTGATCTTGTTCCTACTCCTTTTCATTTTAATACTTGCATGGAAATATTTGATGTTCACACTCCTTCATGTACCCAGTTTTCCTTCAATTTTTTATTCCAAAAACTTAGCAAAGGTTTGCTAGTTTCAATGACAGAATTAATTACCTTCTTTTTTGCAGTCTGATCATCAGCAAGTTGTAATTGAATACTGGCTAGCTTGTGTTTCCACTGTTGTGCCTGTTCTTCAATATTTGAGAATTTCCTCTTTTTAAGATCTCTCAATTTTGGTTTTAGCAGCTTCTGCTTTTGCATCACGTTGAACTACTTAGTTCCCTCCAGTTCTTCTTACCAAACATTATTGACAATCTCCTTGAAACAGGCTCAGTAGACCATATGTTGAAGAATATGAAAGGTGTCTTCTCATGTGATTGTCCATCCCCCCATCTTACAAGCAGTGCATTATGATCAGAGATGCCTGCTGGACAGACAGTAGTGTAAGCTTCCTGATATTTTTTAAACCAGTCAACATTACCCATTGTTCTATCCAACTTAGAGTAAATTCTACTTGCTCCTATTTACCTGTTACACCCAGTAAATCTCCCTCCTTGACTTGGCGCATCCCATACTTCACAAACTTCCACCATTTCTTTGAATTTGTCAGTATCACTTGTTACTTCATCCTGTCCTCCCAGCTTCTCATGATGACTCAGGATGCAATTAAAATCACCCATCATTAACCATTCAGCTTTAACATTTGGAACCAATGCTTTGAGATCATCCCATTGTTTACTTCTTCCTTGTAGCAAATACTCAGCATATACTATAGTTATATAGTATTGCCTACAAGAATTATTCTCTGTCACCAAGAAATGTATAAATTGGCTATTTATAAATAAGGCCTGCACTTTGTATTCTCCTTTCCGCCATATTATCATAATCCTGCGTTTTTCCTTGCCTTCCTTATTACTAAGATAATCATATGGCTGCCGCCTTTTCGTCATTAACTCATCCACGTTTTCACCTGTAAGTTTTGTTTCCACAAGTCCAGCCAACCCAATATTATTCACAGTGAGGAATTTTCCAACCTCCCTGTGTTTCAGAGGGCTATTAAGCCCTCTTACATTCCATACAAGGAGGTTATTCATGATAGCTAGACCCTCTAGGAGGGTGACTAGTATCTAAATAGTATATTGAATCAGTTGTTTTTGTTCTGTCTGAAATTCTCCCTTATGCAATCCTTATTCCGTTTTGATTCAAGATTTGAACACGTTGACCCTTTGACTTGCATTCCCCTCCTTTTTCTGATTATTTCCAGCCTTTTCTGCATGCTTTTTACTAGAATTTAATGCTGTTTTAGGGCTTGCATGCTCTTTTTCCTGATCAACTTTAATATGGTTAACCTTGGTTTGCTGTGTTGAACCTCCCTCGTTACCCTTCCATTCTTTTTTGACAGACACCCTGTATATCTGCTGATCATGACCAAATCCTTTGCAATTTGAGCATTGAATTGGTTTCCATTCATACACCAGAATCTGCTCCTGCAAGTTACCTTCTTCATCTTCAAATCATAGCTTATCTTGCAGCTTTTCCTTGACTTCTATTTCAACTAGAACCCTTGCAAAGCTGGTTCTTAGTTTTTGTGCTATCATTTCATCCATTTCCAGGGGAATACCAAGAGGACTAGTGATTCTGCTCAGTGTAGTAACATTCCAATAGCATAGTTTCAGCTTAGGCGATCTAATCCAAACAGGAACCTTTCGTATCTCTGTCATACTAATCTTCTCATCCACAGTCCAGTCCTTCACAATGAACGGCTTACTGTCAAAATGATACACATTATGCTTCAACATCTCCTCTTTAGCAGCTAAGGTCTTGAATCGAACCACAAACACGCCATTTCCAACAGCAAGACCTTATCCACCCCCAATCTGCCCCAATTTCTTCGAATGAAACCATTGACTACTGCATATGGTGGATTCGCTTCTAGAACATAGCAGATCACAGAGGTTTTCCCGTAATCAAGTTCAATTTTAATCTCTTTGAATCGGGGTATCTTACGTTATTAAAATATGTGCAATTCAAGAACAAAATAACCTAATACCACTCAAACGCAAGGATACGTTTTGGGTTATAGTAGTGGTAGTAGGGTCGATCCCACGAGGAGTCGGAGTTCACAATGTTGATTAGAGTGAAGTAGAAATCTCCTATTACTTTAAACTACACTAAGCACAAAATGGAGGTAATAATGAGAGAGAGTTAAAGTTTTAAAAAGTCTTATAAGAAAATTCTACTAGAATACTACGATAAACTTGCCAAATAAATGAAATACGGAGCCTAAATTATAGATGAAAATTGAGAGAAAACAATTAGCACAACAATGGACAAGGTCGAAGTAACTCCTAAGATATGATTAGGGTAGTTTTAACTCTTTAATCCATGTCAATTAATGTTAAGGTCATGTTAATTAAGGAATGATGTTTATTTTTCGCTCTAGGTTCTATTCCTAGTTCCTAGAATTGTATGACTAAACCCCTATGCCTAGGTGACTTACCAATTTAATTAACCCAATTAACATTCTTTATTCACCCTTTCAACCTATCTATGCCTAAATGAGGTTTAATAGAGTTCCATTAACAAATTCATGCTCTCATGAAGATAAAGAGTCATTCAAGAGAGTTTAATAACACACCATTGGAATGATCAAATCAAATAACATGCATCTCCTACACTAACCTTGTTAATGGACTTAATAAACACAACTCATAACAATAATCAACACGGATATAGGAAATCTCAACTACCCATCCTCAATCTTAGGAGTTCAAGAAGATTTAGCTACTCATTATCAAAGAAAAATCATCCAAGATTAATAATAAACAATACATTAGAATGGGATAAAGAGGAGAGGTGTTACCACTTTCTTTGAAGATGGAGAATCACTAAAATCCAACAAAAATACCATTTCCATGTCCATCCATATCTAATCTTGAATTCTTGCTCAAATATAGTGTACAAAATGAACAAAACTAATCTAATTTGATGCTAAGATAAGAGAACCCTAGAACACTAAGCTTAGAGTGAGTTTGGAGTGTCAAAAGTTCCAAATCAGTTGGCAAAATATCAATTTATAGCCATTGACATCGTGGGGACCAAAGTGGTTAAGTGAAAAAATTTAAGGACTGAATAGCATTATATGTGGGCTTATTCCATATTTTTGAAACTTGGGGGCCTCATCTTGCACAGCTTTTCTTTTCAAGCAAACAGAGGCCCCTCTATGCAAATCTGTGGGGAAGGAGGATTAAGTTTGCAATTCCTCGGAAGTTCTTTCTTCTTCCCTGTCGGAGGTCACCACCGGCGCCGGAACATGGTCACCGATTTCTGATCACATCTCCGTCGTTTCTTCATGAAAATTGACGAATCTTATACCAAAAATGCTCTCCAAGATCTCCTATGTAACTACCATAGATTTGTTCAACCTGTAACTCGGGTGCTTGACTTTTGGGTGAGTCAAACCCAAAATTGTGGAACAAAAAATGTGTAGGGTTTATTTTGTGGACAAATATAATGTTCTCACGCTTTCAAAACGCGAAACAAGAAAATTAGATTAACAATTCGCGCTTGTGAAATGCGAATCATTTTAATCATGTTTTCCCCAAATTCAACCGGGACGAAAGGAGAGAAAAAATTGAATTAAAAAAGGAAAACCATTTTTCGCGTTTTGGAAACGCGAAAAACGTAAATAGCGTTTCAGAAATGCGAGAAATTATTTTCGTGTTTTAAAAAGGCGAAAAGCTTTAAATTTTAAATTTTAAATAAATTGCGGTTTGAAAATAACAATTTAGCGTTTTGAAAACGCGAAAAAAGTTTTCTAGCGTTTTGAAAGCGCGAAAAATAATTTTAGCGTTTTAAAAACGCGAAAATATCCAGAAAATCTCCTCATCCACTCATTCGGCTCCACGTGTATTTTGATGATAAGTCTTGAGTGTATTCGCATTTTGTAAACGCGAAATTTAAGATTTATATACCAAACCAAGCAAAATAACAGCATTTTTTCGCAAACTTTTTCCATTCTGTTGAGCTCCGATTTTAAGTTTCACTCCGGAGGACTTGACTGAATCCGTAAAAGCTTTCATTTCCTTCAATTTGAGTAGTTGCTCCGAAGTTAAAGAAGATTGATTTGAGTCCTGAATCCGTGAAAGCTCTCATTTCCTTCAACATTCAGGTAAGTTTATTTCGTTACAGAAAATATGTACTTTTTTATGCCTTATTGTGAGCATAGGATGATTTACGCATTATTATTAGTTAATATATATACTTGTGATTTAGTCAATTAATTAGGCTGATAAAGTGAATTGAAAAAAATATTAGTTAATAGAATGTTAAATTAGATGAGCGATGTAAATTATTGTATATCGATTTCTGTAAAATAAAATAAAATTATAATAATGATATTGAATTTTGAATATTTTTAGCATAAGAATAAATTATGTAATTCGGGCATAAGGTTTAGATTTAATATTAATTTTTAGCATAGAAATGAATTTGTAAATTCAGGGCGTATAGTTGTTCTTTTGAAATTATTAAATCTGTAAACGGGGTAAATACTGTTTCCGCAAAACTAAAATTCAAAATGTATGCTAGTGTTCTGATTTCGTAGGAATTGATTTTGCAGGCCGCAAATGTCTTTCACGGAGACAGTTCGTCTGAAAGTATACTGGAATACTACTTATACAACTGAACCTGATGGGACTATCACGGTATAGCGGGATGCGCCGGACGGTTATCTTATCATTGATCGTATGTTAGATTTCTCGGAACTTGTTGATAAGGTATGTAGTGTGATGGAAGTTGATAGAGAAGGGCTGTATATTGATTTTTCTTTGGTATGGACGGAGAGGTCAGGAAAAAGGTCTCGTGTGCACATTAATGATGATAATACTGTTCGGTTCATTTATCTTTGTGCTGATAAATGGCCAGAATTGTACTCTGAAAATGTTGAGAGAACAGGCCATGTTTATGCAAGTAATCTGGCCAGGATATTGGTGCCAGCACTAGTGGTGGAAGAACAGTTGAAGACAATGAAGATGGAGATGAAGATGAAGATAAAGATGAAGATGCAGATGAAGATGAAGATGGCGGGGGTGTCGAAAGCAGTGATGATGAGTACGTCCCATCGGATGAGGACTCAGATGACGACACTGATTTTGAGTCATCTTCTTCAGTCCCATATCTTTTCGACGACATAAGTGGATGGAACAAGACTTTAGAGGAAGTAGATTGTGATGGGATTAAAATGTGGGATGGCAATCCGTTGACGCTAGGCCTTGATATACATTTCGCCAACAAGCCTGAGGCACAAGCGGCAGTGGGAGAATGGAACTTGGTACATGGTCAGAATTTCCGGGTGAAAACGAGCTCTAAACGAACATGGTATGTCGAATGCGAGACCTGTGGACCCAAATATCCGAAAGAGCGTCTTCACGACTATGATTGCCTGTGGAAGGCGCGAGTTTCGCTACAGAAGGCCACCGATACTTGGAAAATGGTGGTATGGTCCGATTCCCACACCTGTCTTGGGGCAAACAAGAGAAACGAGTCCCGAAACGTCACGTCTTCTATGATTGCTAGAGTGGTTGCCCAAAATGTGCGAAAACATCCAGATTTTGCAGTTGCCCAAATTCAAATAGAAGTTTTGAAGAGGTACCAAGTCGAATGTAGCTACAAGAAGGCATGACATGGTAGAAGAAAAGCACTTGAGGCTCTGTATGGTACATGGGAAAGTAATTTTCAACAACTGCCCAGCTTCCTCGATGCATTGTTCATGTCAAACCCGGACACTTGTGTGCAATTCAAGTTTAAGGAAAATTCAGGAAGCTCGCAAAGGTTTGTATGTAGGTATGTTTTCTGGGCATTTGGGCCATCTATACAGTTATTTCATGCTTGCTGGCCAGTAATAACCATCGATGCCACTCACCTGCGAGGATCCTACAAAGGAAAACTAATTGTGGCATGCGTAAAGTGCGCAAATGGCACGATTGTTCGCATCGCATTTGCTCTTGTGGACGAAGAGACTATACACAGCTGGAAATGGGTTTTGAAGTATTTGAAAAAGTTTGTTCTACAGGGTAGGAAGACCTATATTATCTCTGATTGAAATCAGGGTATCCTTACTGCCATGGACATCATGTTGCAAAAATTCCCAGAGATGGGAGTCCACCGGTATTGTGTAGAGCATGTTAAAGCAAACTTGGTTGGGCATTTTCAAATGGAGAAACTGGGAGGCAACTGTCAAATGATTGGTTCAGCGACGTAAAAGACAAGGTATTTGGCAGAGTGGCAAAAATTAGAAGAAAAAAATGAGCCTGATGCTCGTTGGCTTCAGAAGCTGGGTGTTGAGAAATGGACCTGTTTACACGATGGAGGGCATCGTTGGGGAGAAATGACCACTAACATTTCAGAGAGTTTCAATAATGTGCTGAAAGGTGCTACATTCTTCCCGATCACAGCTTTGATCCCAGCATCCTTTCAGAAAAGCAACAATCTGTTTCAGGCAAACATTGATATGATCCAAAAATGTCAGAATGTTCTACCTCCTAAGCCAATGAAACTGTATGAAGAGGCCCGGAAGAAATCATTGAGGCAAAAGGTCAACCAGTTTAGCAAGAGAAACCAGAAGTACGAAGTGGTTACAATAGCACCTGATAATCAACCATGGAAGGCTGAGGAGAAGCAAGTTGTGCTCTATGCAAATCGAGAGTGCACTTGCGGAAGGTGGCAGACTTTCAGATTTCATTGTTCCCATGCACTTCGAGTTGCCCGTGAGCTAGGTGACGACCCCTTCCCACTTTTTGATCCATGTTACACTACGCAGCAATGGTACCAGCAATTTTCTGGAGAATTCAACCCAATCATGGAACCATGGCCAAAGACAACGTGGCAGATCAGGCCAGATGACACTAAACTTGTCCACCATGCTGGCCGGGGTCGGAAGCGTGTGAATTGGAAAAAAGGTGTGATGGATTATACAAGCAAATCTGGCCAGCGAAGACTCCAAACTTGCAGTTTATGTAAGCTACAGGGCCATAATGCCAGGGCTTGCCCATATGCGAGAGTTTGCGCACGATGTGGAAGTTTAGATCATGATGCTGTGGAATGCCCTTTTTCTCATCCACCTGCTGACAGGACCACTATTGATAAACTGTACGATCCATATGGAATTCGTGGTGTGCTTAATATCAATTCTGATGATTCTGATGATGCGTAGTGATGATTTTCCACATCGTGCGTTGTGATGATTCTGTTAGTGTTCGTATTTTTGTGTTGTTTTGAACATTCATGTAGTAAACCTCAGAGGATGAATCAGTTTGCGTTTGTTTGTACTTGTGTTAGTGTGTTGGTTTGGATGTTTCTGTAATTTATATTAGTAATATTTTTGTAAAAAAAAACGTCGCAGTTTGTTTTAGTAATATTACTAATTATTACTATATTGGTGGAGTGATAGGATATACATGTCGAATAAAGCACTAATTATTTGATAAACACTAAAGGATCATTCACTTTAGGGTAAGAAAAGTAGTTATTTGTTTATTCATTTTATGATAAACACAGTTGGCTTAGTTATCATAAACGATAAATTAGTTGTGTAAATTAGTTTTTATTTTTCAGTTTTAAACGAAAATCGCGTTTCTGAAATGTGAGAAAGAGAGAGCATTTTGTGGTTTTCGCGTTTCTGAAACGCAATTATTGGGATATAGCTAGTTTCGCGTTTCAGAAAGGCGAAACTGTGTGGTTAAATAAAGTTTTCGCGTTTCGGATTGATGTTTCCCAAACAGAAAAATATATCCGGCGTACTCCATTGAAACCGGCGGTTTTTCCGGGATCGTTACTGGAATCGAGTTTCGGCAGCAATTTTTTGCATTTTGTGGGCTATATATCGAGGTAAGTTGTGTTTTTGGCTCTCATTGAATCGTTTTTTTTTAATTCATGCTTTAATTTCTGATTCTTATAAATTTTGTGTTCGTTTTATTTTTAATTTTATTTCACAATTTAATACTCCGTTAATAGATCTAGTATTATAGGTGTTGTAATTGTGGATTTTTTAAAAAAATTCGGGATTGGGTTGGGTGAAAAAATTTTCCGGATTGATGGAGGTTTCTAAGGTGTTGCCGGGGGGGGGGGGAATGGGGGGGTTTAGAGGGGGGTAAGGTTTAGGGATGGGCTTAGGGTTTGTGGGGTGTTGGGCTTAGGGGGTTTAGGATTTGGGGAATTGGGTTGGGTTTAGAATGTGGGTTTTGGGTTGGGGATTGGGTTGGGTTTAGAGGAGTGGGTTTAGGGGGTTGGGTTTAGAGTAGTGGGTTTAGGATAATAAAATTTAGGGTCGGATTTTTTAATGTATAGGATAATAAAAAGGAATAATAATATTAATCCGTATTTACTAAAATTTAAGGGTCGGATTTTTTAATGTATAGGATAATAAAAAAGGATAATTAATATTAATCTGTACTTACTAAAATTGTTTGTAAATTGTACTAGCCATGGACATTGGATCATCTTCTTCCTCCCAATCTATCTCAAAGAAGCTACGGCAGGGACCCAGAGACAGCAGTTTGTTGTTTCTCCAAAACGCCCATAGGTCACACAATATATTCCGTGGTGCACAGTATGATATAGGGATTTCGGAGCCCAGGCGCGTAGATAGCCCCGCATGGAAATTAATAAAAGATGCACCGAGGTTGACAAAGGAATATATTGAGAAATTTGGTTTTGGACCGTTCTCTAGAGTTGGGTCCATAAGATGTGACCATGCCCTACTTACAGCTCTTGTGAAGCGATGGCGCCCAGAGACCCATACATTTCATTTACCTTTTGGGGAGGCTACTATCACACTCCAGGACGTCGAGGTTCTTTTAGGTCTTCGGGTTGATGGACGTCCAGTTACAGGACATCACACCACGCCTGATGGTGGTTGGGCAGCCTATTTGGAGAGAATGTTTGGATTTAGGTTCCAGACAGAGGAGTCTAGATTGACGAGCGTTTCCATCACTGAAAGAAAGACTCACATAGAGAATAATCCTTTGATGCACTGCCCCCGACGATGCACACCTACAGCGAGCCCGTTGTTTTGTTGGATGGCTCGTTGGCGGATTACTGTTCTCAAACACTACGAGAAACAGTTTTCCTCTCGATCTTGTGCATTTTCTTCATACTCCCAAGATTTGCTCGGAGTACAGTTGCGGTAGTGCGACACTATGTTACTTGTACCGCAGCATGTCCAAGTCATCTCTGGCCGCTTCTGCCAAGGCTATTACCGGCTGTGTGATTCTTCTTCAGGTATTTTATCTTTTCATTTCTCTCTAGTTTCATTTTATATTCTCCCATAATTATTGGTGATTTTAGCTAATGATTTCTTCATTCTGAATTAGCTCTGGGCCTGGGAGCGGATTTTGACGGTTCAGCCCAAGATACTGGGTGGGGAGCTCGATCTATCTCATTGTCCATTGGGCACGAGGTAATCTTATACACCAAACCTCCGTAAATTTTGACATTGTGATTTGTACTGTCATGTCTCAATTTAATGTTACTTTCTCCGTGCAGGTGGTCCTGTGAGAAAAAAGTTCCAGGTATCACGCGGTTCAATTTGGCCGCGTACCGGGATCAGCTTGCAGTTCTCACAGAGTCTGATGTTAGTATTCTATTCAATTAGTATAACTTATTTTTTATTCATTTTTTTTAACGGTGCCGGACTTTTAATTACGCGTCTCTTACTTAATTACCATTGCAGTTTGTATGGATGCCGTACACGACTCTTCTGGGTCGTATTGCCAGGGTTTGTCTTGTAGGACAGGGCATATGGCGATCTCAGACATGGCTCATCTGCGGTGATGTCGTTGCGCCACACAACCCCTATAGGGTATTTCGCCAATTTGGTTATCACCAGCGGATACCCGGCGACGCATTACTTCTCACTGCGGCAGAAATTACTAGCCTGCTCAAGAGGAAGCCGTTTGGAGGATCCGATAGGAGATGGATACAACAACTAGGGATATATCTCCAGGTTTGGAATGATCGCCACGGCCGACTTGTGGGGATTGATGATGATTATGTTGGCGAGCCTTCTGCAGATCCGGAGTATCTCTTGTGGTACCATCAGGTTACTGTGAAGTATGTTGCAGATCCGACGAACTCTGAAAATGCGAGGGGTTTTCACGGCTCTGCAGAGACCTTGCGCCTCATGGTGAGTATTTCGCCTAGAGTCCATTTGGTTCTTTTTATTAACACTGTTGTCAATTTATGATTCTTTCTAATAAAAATTTCAGGCCACATTGATGGAGGACGTTCGTAGTCTGAGTATTATAGGCCAGCGTACTTTCGACGCGTACTCCTTTGGTTATGATCGCTTAGGCGAGATTGCCCAGGTTGCTGAGCGGGCATTGTCCGTCAATGCAATGAATATTGTACGTCACGATCTCGATAGGCATGTTGAGGTTAATGACATTTTGAGTCAAGAACTTGCACCTGTAGACCCGACTCAGCAACATCCACCACCCAGACCTCCGAGGCGTTCGCGCAGGTCTCAGCGTGGGCGTGGGGGGCAAGAGACAATCACATCCACTCAGCCACATCAGTCCTCCCAGCATCAGCAGTCTCATATTCCTTTCACTGGCGGTTCATCCCATCACTCTCCACACCAGTCTCCACTCCATTCTCGACAGCATTCATCCCATCAGTCTACACATCATTCTCCACATCATTCATCCCATCAGTCTCCACATCATTCTCCACATCATTCATCCCATCAGTCTCCACATCATTCTTCGCCGACCCAACAGGCGTTTTACCGTCCGATTATGTCTCCCCAGCACCAGCAGTCCCATTTTGCCTTCACTCAGTTTTCCTCCCCTCAGACTTCTCAGCGTCAGTTTGGAGATTCTTTTATTGACTTTTCTGGGTTTCAGCAGAGTTTGCTAGATGGCCAGTCAATACATTACACGAGTAACTTTCTTTCGAGTATGTTCGAGGGTGTTGCGGGTCAGCATCAGGCTGATGAACCAGCTGGAGGTGAGCGTGAGAGTCAGGGTGAAGATGAGGCTGAGGATGAGGCTGAGGATGAGGCTGAGGATGCAGACCAGGATGATCATTTTGAGGGTCAGGGTTATCAGCGCCATGAGGAGCAGGGATCGAGTCAGACTCTAGGGACTCCACCGTTGGCTGTGAGTAAAGGCCAGAGAGTGACGAAGGAGCCCGATAGATTGACTTATAGCCTTTTTCAGGCTAAAAAGCCCAAGAAGAAGTAGGGTACTAGACTTTTTATGTAGTATTATTACACTTGTACTTTTTTTTTTTCCTTTTGTTCATTTATGTTTTCTTTTCTTTTGTTATGACTTGTTTTATTTTTTTTACCTTTTGTTATGACTTGTAGTATTTTGTTATGACTTGTATTAATATTCTTAGTAGTTTGATTTCACCTGCATCGTAAATACAATAATTAATATTTATAAAACACATCTTCGCCGATCAAATCGAAACACATCTTCAAACTTTCTTATATTCTTTTCATAATTAATAGTTGCTTCATTTTTTTTTTTAAAAAAAACAAACATCAAAGTATTTGGCTACAATTTAAACCCTAAGTTTATTTTGTTCTTCATAATTTTTTTCAGATATTAATAAGTAAATTCTCACTGTAACTCGAGTTTCCACATTGAATTCAAGGAGTTATAGTGCTTGCATCCAAAAAGCTTGTTGAAATTCCATCAATTCCAGTCTGAGTAAGCAATTTCTTCGCCCTTTTTCTCCTGCATAGATTCTGAATTTGGAACTTCTTTGTTCACCAAAGTGGTAGCTCTTTCTTTTCGCTTCACAATGGTATCTTGAACACTGAAATTGGAGTTGTGGATCGAGAGTTACGACCTCTGACAGGTGGATGAGTTTTCCTGATAATCTACAAATTTTCTGAACAGATATGACTGGAATTCATTTGCATTTTTGACTCCTCTTGGCTGAACAGATCTGACAAGTTAGGGATTGTATCATTAAGTTTTGCTAATGACTTAATGACTTTTTGTGGTGCTGAGATCCCTACTGTCATGATGATTAAAAAATGTCTTGATGATTTTGCACATACTACTGGACTTATAGTCAACATACAGAAGTCCAACATCTATTTTCGAGGCAAGACAAATGCTGTACAGGAGCAAATTCAAAGCATCATGGGATTTAAAACTGGAACCTTCCCAATGAAGTATTTGGGCATGCCTATCTCTCCTGGTTCATGGAATAATTAGGGTGGCTGTCAGATGTTGGTGGACAAGATCACACGCAGAATTCAGTGTTGGACATCCAGGCATTTATCTTATGCTGGAAGGACTCTCCTGATCAACTCTGTCCTGATGAGCTTGCACACCTACAGGGCTAGCATTTTCCTGATTCCCCAGAGTATCATACACCAAATCATAATCAGGAGTAGGGAGTTTCTTTGGAGAAAGAAGGAGAATGGGAAATCTTGGTCACTGGTATCTTGGGATGACATATGTAGAAACAGAAAGGAAGGTGGTCTAAATATCAAAGATCCCGGAACCTAGAATAAGGCGTTGATGGCAAAACAGATTTGGGACTTTGAAAAGAGGAAAGGAAGTCCCTGGATTAAATGGATACACATTTATTATCTATAAGGACGAAGTATATGGGAGTATAAAGCTTCACAGGATTCCAGTTGGCACTGAAAGAAGCTGATCAAGGTGAACGAGAAGATCAAAGGAGGAGTCCAAAATGACAAGTGGAATGACCAGAATGGGAAACCTTACTCCACTAAGAGAGGCTATGCTTGGATGAGAGGAACTAAGGAGCCAGTGAGATAGTCTAAAATCATCTGGACAAGATACAGCTTGCCTAAGCACAGCTTCATAAGCTGGTTGGCATGGAAAAACAGATTGCTTACAGCTGAGAGGTTGAACAGAATGAATATACAAATTGAAGATAAGAAGTGCAGCTTGGGTAAGAAGGAAGATGAGACTGGGAAACATATGTTCTTTCACTGTGATTATGCCAAGGAATTGATATCAAGACTCAGGAGCTGGCTAGGACTGATTACTGAGATGACAGAGTTGCAATACAGGAGGATTAACCGCATCTGGAGGGGTAAAAAGATGAGGAGACAGGTTTTGTTGGCATGCCTCAATGCTGCAATACTTCATGTTTGGTCGGAAAGAAATGCTAGAAGATTTGGAAACATAGAACTTCCAGCAAACAGAAGAATAGAGCTTATTAAGCAAGAAGTGAAATGGATGGTTGAATTCAATTGTAGAAAGGATAGTAATGATGATACACGACACTTAGATCGGATAGAAATTGATACAAAGAGAATGATCACATGTAATAGATGATAGTTTGTACATATTACTTGTGAAAGAAGGCAATACAATTCACCTTTTACCAAAAAAAAAAAACATTACGCAGTTCTGTTTTGTAATACTTAAGAGTTGATCTCCAATATTACTTTTAGAGATTTCCCTTGGCAACTAGATGACACAAAAGGAGAGGGAAAGAAAACAAAAATATTCAATTCTCATGAGAGTAGCAACAATTTTGTTTAGTTTTATGCGCGAGCGTGCAGATATGATGTTGATGTGGGGTTCATTAACGATGTGCCTTCAGCTAAGGTTCTGATTTGAACAAAGAAGAAATAATGCAATACACATGTTCACCATTATATATACTTCGAATAATTTGTTTTGTCTTCACTTAATTATCAAAAAAATAACATAAGTTAGCGTTTCGTCTTTACTATATATCTCAAGTTCAAATCGTCCTCATTAATAAAGATGATTATAACTTGAGATATAAAGATGATTTGAACTTATGACATTTAATAAATACGATTTGAACTTGAGATATATAGTAAGGACAAAACGCCAACTTATGTTATTTTTTTGATAATTAAGTGAAGACAAAACAAATGATTGGAAGTAAAGACGAAGATATAAAAACAAAAATACAACTTATGACATTTAATAAAGACGATTTGAACTTGAGATATATAGTAAAGACGAAACGCCAACTTATGGTATTTTTTTGATAATTAAATGTTTTGTCTTTAGCATCATCAAATTATTTACTTTGCTTAAACTTTTACATATGAGAGGTGGCTAGTGGAAAGGCAGCTGAAATTGTAGGATCAAGAAATCATTCAACATTGTTATTCTGTTTCAATGGTCCCAGTAAATGGGAAAACAAATTCTAGTATCCAATATCAGGTACCATTTTTACATGAATATGGTAAAACTAAAACGAATCACAAAGTATCGAAATGGGAACTCAATCAAAGATCAAGGATGTGAAAGGCGGAGGACTTTCTCGGCAATGAATGGAAAAACAAACAATCAAGCCCGAGTCTGTCTCTCTAATGACGGCCGCCTTTCAATAATAAAGCTATAAAATTTATATTTGATTAGAGTAAATGGAATAACCGGTCTTAGCTCCGCGGTAGAGCGCGGGGTGTACAAAGGAACTACTAAAAAACCCATGTGTGCGAGTAATAATAAAATTCCCGAGGTCGCAGGTTCAAGTCCTGCAGGCCAGGAAAATTATTTTTACCTGGATTATTACATTGGGTCGGTGTGCATCCAATCCCCCAAATCCAAATCCAACCCAACAAAGACAAACCTTTTCCCAGGCATGTTGTTAAAGGCTTGATCCGTGCCATAATTGATTAAGGGAATTTGCAATACACTAACTACAGCTAGATAAGATTGATACACCGCAGTCTTGAAACTTGAGAAGCACACCAATCTTTACAACTCTACGCTGAGATTCATATTTTTTTGTTCATTCCGTTCTGAAATAAGTGCCTATTTTGAATTTTTATTCTTATTGAGCTTAAATTATAGTAAAAGTTTAAATCTAAAATGGACAATTATTAATTCGGAACGGAATGAGTATATATCCCAACAACAACTTTCATAGTCTGATCAAGTTGAAAAGGGGAACAACCATGATCCTTTTGATCCTTTGTTTATGTGTGTTTAAGATGGAGAGCTCCATAAATTGCGTGATGTATCCTTTAAAGCTGTCTGCTGGTTTGGAAGAAAGGGCTCGCCAAGTGGCTTCAGTGCTAATATATACATGACGTTTCATCATTCTCACAAAAGTGATGCACCCCTTGGCATTTCCTGAGATGCATGCTAACTTGTCCAATCATAAAAGTAGCTCAATTAAGACATGCATATAAACTGAGCCAAATTTGGCCGCGGTTACCTTTTGTTCGTCCTAACCGGCGAAATGTCCATGAGATGCCAATACATTGACCATGAAACCATAGGGGGAAGGGGGCAGTTAATATACTGGACACCCGGAGTTACCTAATTAGGTAACTCCGGTTTTAATATCATGCGCCCCGCTTGCACAAATTTATCCACAAATTTCTCCACATCATCTGGCTTATCGATGAGGTTCACGGGCTCTTTTCATCACGTTATGCCTTGGCTAAAGTGTGGCATAGTGATAGGATCAGATGTCTTGTGTTTTTTATTTGTCCGATTTTTTGCTATCTTGAAAGGGTCCATTATCTAATGTTGTGGTTGATGTGTAAAAATCATTCATTTGAAGACGAGAACAATGGCAATTTATATGATAAGCCATGTTTACAATATATGATGTACTTACTTTAGGAATTGCATTACACGCTTTAAAAAAGTTAAATTTCAATTAAATTTTATTATAACAACCACACCCATCGATATGATTGATATTTTTTTCCCTTATTATTCTTTTTATCCTGTAGCCAATCGTATCTAAATAATCAAAACTGAAAATCTAGTATCTTATCAATACTAATTGGTAGTACACTTAACTTTTCTTTTATAAAATAAAGCAGAAATGAAAAAGTAGATGCAAACTATCTTTCCTTCATCTTAAAAAAATATTAAGAATTGCAAGACTGAGTTTTGATTTGAATCAAATCCTTTTGATGTCGTTTATGATGATTGATAATACTTGACAAGTCTATCAAGGAGGTGACAGTGACAAGCGCTCAAATGATAATGCTAACAATGGATTCACCCAAGATTGCAGTTTTCACGGCTGAAACCAACGACGATGATCTGGCAGAACTTCAATTGATACGCATTGAAGATGATGTATTGTCCCCAACAACTTCAATTAACATCCATTCATGAAGATGAACTTCCTCCACATGATTTTGGTAGTGTTGAGTTTATATTTAAAAGATTAGAAAACAAGTTTTCGATGAACATGTACTTATATGTTAATGAATAATTTTTAATAAAAACATGAACACGCTTGTTTATATTATTCATTCATGAACTTTTCTTTAAATGGGTTTGAACATTTTATCATATTAAACACTCATGTCTGGTTCGTGTTCTTATTTTATTGCATGTATGAATATGATGCAAACTTATCATTAATATGACATTTGCGATGTATGAATATTGACTATATTTATCATGAACATAATATGGTCATGAACATATTACGAATTGTGAATGTAATTATGAACATTATTTAAAATGTTCATGAATATAGCATAATATGATCATGAATATTATTTTATTATTACTACAATGTGCTATTAGTTATGAACTTTAGATTATTATACCGTGAAAAACACATTTAGCATTCATGATTTTTTTTTTCGTTATATAAGTTTGAACATATAGGAGAAAAATAATATTATTTATTATGAATGTATGAATTTTGTTCATATTTATCATGAATATTATATTTACGATGTATGAATGTTGTATAGTAATTTATTATAATGTATAAATATTGTGCATATTTATTACAAATATTATAAATTAGTTTCATGATTATTGACATCATTAATCATGATACTTATAAATATTGCCATGAATTTTTATTGTACGCAACACAAAATTGTCATGAATTTTTAATATGATTATCATGAAATTTAATATGTTTTGTTTTGAATATTTACACTTTAAGTCATGAACATTATTATCAGTATTATTTGTGTACCGTTTATTACGTGTTTTTGTGTGGTAGTGTGTAATTTTATTTGTATTACATGACTCTTGCTGTAATTAAATTTTTTTCTTATTAGGATTGTATTTTTTGTTACCGTAAAATTTGGATATAATTTGAATTGTAGTTTGTTTGGATTTGATTAGTTATGAATTCTAAATAAATAAAAAGAATCTTATTGAATAGATAAGAGAGAGATAAAAATTAAAATTGTAGGAGCGCGTGCAAATAATAAACTAGTTCACCAAACATTGTGAACTGTGTTGTATGATATAATTACTCGTGAACAATGGTCTTCAATATGATCCGATGGCACCTAAGATTTCCTAAAGATTATCCATTATCCAACATTCCAAGAAGATAGCTCACAATATTTTTCAACAGTACTTCTGTTCAAAAAATCCAATCTCATATTTGCATTCGTTCAACTCACAATATTGCTCAACAGTACTTCTTTTCAAAAAATCCAATCTCATATTTGCATTCGTTCAAAAACTAGGGTTGAAGAAATGTTTGTCCTATTTTTGACCTTAGCTTCTCTAGTGTCTCAAGTTTGTTTTGTGGGAGGTTGTAAAATTGTATTTGTATTTCTTCTTATCTAAATTTTTGTTCTCCTTAGATATTAATACTAAAACTATATATTCAGAAACTATTTTTTTTCCACCTCTTGTATTAACTCGAATTGCTTGTTATTTTTATAGCGCCAAAATTTATTTATTAATCATTTAATCGTGTAAATACCACTAGTTTGTAATGCAAAGAATTAGTTAGCAACTGTAAATAGATGTATAGCCAGATGTATGCAACTCAAGAAAAAGAAACCACATTCTTCGTTAATTGTTGTTATCGAGAAACTTTTTCTCAAATCTTCGTAAATGCCATTCGCATACTGTTTAATTTAAACTCTTAAAAAAGGTCATTTTCCTAAGGGAAAATTTTTTTTAAAAAAAAAGAAGGACAAAGGAAGAAGTTCAGCAAATGCCATCCGTTCGAGTTGTAGTCCTTGCGGCTTAATTCAAATCGAGGTTAGACTGGTTAGTACCTGGCGTAATGAGAGATAATTATGCGATTTCTTGGCCTTCAAATTGAAACTTACCCAGATTGTACGTAGCTAGCAGTCTATCGAGATTAAAGAAGAAGTTCAAGGAATTGGAGTTCAAGAAGAAGGGAATGAATAGCATATGGAGGTTGCAAATACTTGATAAAAGATGGATTTAAAGGGCATCAAAGGAGAGCAGAAACATGGTAGGGAATCTAAAATTATTTTTGAAGTTCTTTATACCTAGGCATAGTTCTATATAATGGTTGTTTAAAAAAGATTCACTCGATAGAAGAAGTGAAATGTGTACTGTGTTCTAGGGCGAAACCATGTAACTGAAACTATGCCAATAAAAATTTTTTTCCCCCATGCTTTATCCTTAAACCTTTGCCTTTTATGCTTCCAAATCCAATAGAACTAAGCGATTGGAAGCATAAAAACAAAGGTCTAAGGGTAAGGACTTGCTGGAACTTACTTGCAAGAAAGTCGCTGACCAGATTCAGAAGTGGAGCCCCGAAAAAGTTCGGAAAACTTTTGACATTAAGAATAATTTTACACCCGAAGAAGAAAAAGAGGTACGCAAGGTGAACGAGTGGGCTTTTGACGAAGTAAACGACGAGGATTGATCTCCTCTGCTGGTTTACAGAATTTTATTAGGAGAATTAATTAGAGAACTTTGTTTTAGTTTGCGTGTGTGTGTGTGTGTGTGTGTTTCTTTTTTTGTGGACTTTTTTCTGATTTATGCTTGCTTTCTCCCGTGAAATTTTTCTTCCTTTATTGTGTTCATTTAATAAAATAAACCACTTTTATCCGTGGCTGGTTGACCTTTGGATATTATATATGTATTTATTAGTTGTGTTTATATCCCACTAAGATAGAAGTGCAATTCCTTTTTTATGTCCAAGTGAGATATAAAGACCATCTCTTCATAAATTGAATTATTGAATTGGTTTTCATTAGTCTTGTTCCGTGCTTAATTCAACATAAGAAAATGCGTCTTATTCAAGTTGATTCGGATACTGAAATTGATAAGGTTTTATTTTTATTTGAACTCATTCAAACGTGGTTAGGGTTTGAACTTGATTCAACAAGATTTAGAATAATACTGCTATATATATATATATATATATGTATGTATGTAGTACTATTTCAAGTTTATTGGGTTTGTGAATTGACAAGGTTTTATTTTAATTAGATGGTGCACACGCCATGAAGTACATTAAGAAGGTGCACCTTAAGCTTTCGGAAGGTGTAGTTAAAATGTACTCCAGCATTAATAAAATTTTTCACATCAAATTAATTTACAAGAGAAGCTCTTATTTTATTATAATACAAAAAGAGCTTATTTTATTAAAACAAGCTAGTGACCAAAGCATTCATGCTAGTAACTTTAGGGTTCATTAGCCTCACGAACATTGGCACGATACCCGCCATCATAACCACCACCATATCCGCCACCATAACCCCAACCACGACCATATCCGCCACCATAACCTCCCCATGGATATCCTCCATAGCCGCCACCATATCCTCCGTAACCTCCCCATGGGTACCCGCCATATCCACCCCAGCCCCAGCGGTGGTGCTTGGATTCCACTACTCCTGGAGCTGGCTTAGTCATTTTCTCTGTTCAAAATATCCATATGACAAAGAATATTAGTATTTTATATTGACAAAAACATACTACAAAAGTGGTGAAAATTTTCCAACATAAACTTAGCCAAAATTGAATTAATTAATTGACACAAGAAAGAATATTTATATCGTACGTTCTTCAAATGGTATGGAGTTTTCCTCAACCATCTCTCGAGCAGCAACCTCGGTAGTGATCATAACAGCCATGAATACGGCTATGCAAGTCAAAAAGAGTGCTTTAGAGCCCATGATTTTTCTTCTATTTTCTTTTACGTACTAAAATTGACTCACTTTGGAACCCGTTGCCGAAGAGGTGAAAGAAAGTGATAGTATTTATAGTGAAATTAGCCCACATAAATATAGGAATGAAGGTTAATTGAGAAATTAACAAACCCTTTCTCCCTTAGTCTAGTGGGTGATGATGTTATGAGACTCAAGATGTAGTTGGGCGTTGAAGAAACTGATGATATATGGTGGATTGTTATTATTTGTACAAGTCCAAGTCTGCAATAAGTGACTCTTGAGCATTCCTTTTTAGGGGAGGTGACTTGAAGAAATGAGGTTGTTTTATTGTTTCTTCGGGGGTTTTCAAAGTTGTGATGGAAGGGGTATGAATTAATTATGATGTAAGTAATCCTGACTTTTGGATTTGATTATATATCTACAAAAGAAAGCACTATCTTTTTTTAGAGTCTAGGCGAATGGAAGAACTGCACCCATGAAGTTGGAGAACAAAGTAGTGTTCCATGCATGCACAATCAAAAATTTTAATAATTCACCACGCCTAAAATGTTAAAATAATTATTAAAACTACTCTTATTTTTGGTAGGGTGAGTACTTCAAATTTATAAAACTTAACTATTTATTCAATTCTAGGATCTTCTTTGACAGGCAGCTGCGAGAAGCGATAGATAACATATATTACTCTGCTTAAAAACACAAAAAGGCTAAATTTAGAACTCTGTAAATGTACATAGAAGTTAAGCCTGAAACTATGAGAAATGATACTTTCCCTCCTTGTGCTTAGGGCCGGCTTCATAAAACCATTAAATCTAGAGTTTTAGACTTCCATTTTAGGTGGGCCCCAAAATTTGTTAATAGGGTATGATTATATATTTAGTAAATAATTCTACAAATATGTAAAATAAAAAAAATATTTGTGCTAGATAAAGAAAATAAATTGATAATTTGAAACTTTTAAGGCGTGTTAGTATGAAGATTAGATGAAACGCATCAGTTAGATCAACAAATTTGCATCCAAAAAATATAAACAACTTGAATCCGACTTCATGCCTCGGCACACCTTGAGCTAGCCCTGCTTATGCTACATTCCTTTTGTTGTTTTCTTTTATTTTATTTCTTTCTCTTTTCGTTTTTCCTTCTGTAATTGCTCTTTTTTTTTTTTTACATACTGTTTCTCCAAGTGCAGGTGGTTCATTATTCTTATTCTAATAATGTGCAAGTACATTTTATTTTAATTCAGATAAGAAATGACTTGTCAGTTAAAGATATATAGAAGAGCCTCGGAGGTATATATCTTATTTTGATCTTTTTGATATTGTTAGAATTGTATGTCGAAATTCTTGAAAGGTCACGGACATAATTAATCAGTCTAATCATCATGAACCTGTTAATGTTTTTTTCCAGTAAAAGATCAACATACTCATATCTCTCATGTTTTAATTCAACAAACATGATTTCTTTTATGGGGTGAAAAGAATCATTACTTTTTGGTTCTTTCATAACTTCTTAAAATTTGAAAAGATTTCTTTAATTAAATGAGTATATCACCAACATCCAACCATTAACAGTTTCCATTATTACATAATTGGAGCTGACGAAAAAATACCATTCGTTAATCCCATCTTTCATTCATGAAAAAAAAAGTCAACGACGCTAGAACTGCATCTAGCCAAATTCATCACGTATGTAACTTTCGTCCTATTGCGTTGACTCGCTTGAACTTATCGTTGACAAAAGGTAATTAATTTCTAGTTGACATTTTCTTGGTATTTCACAATGGGGACTGAGAACTCCCGATCCATTAAATGTCGTCATGGTAGAATTAATGATACTATACAGCTTGAAGAAAATAATGTGAAAAGGAGAAGAATGGAAGTTTGTTTTGTACCACTCCATCCCATCTTATCTATAACGCGTAATATTTGCTATTCCTTCCGCTTCAAAGTAATTGTTCAATTTGAATTTTCATCATTAATTTAAATTGTATTAAGAACTAAATTCATTACTACATGATAATTTTGGAATTTAAACTTACTTTAGATTTTGTGTGAGGGTAGCATTTTGTGTGATATTAGTCGAGTTTAAAGGCAACACTTAAACATCTCATATAATTGATCGAAACCTAGGTTTTTCTGAAAAAAATTGAGTAATAATGATGATGTATTTCGTGGTATTAGAACTGGTTCAATTTTCACCAAGAGATATATATGTAAGGGAGGTTTTACCAACATTTAAATGGGATTAATTAGGGTTGATTTTTTTTTTTTAAAAAAAAACCTAGGTTTTTTTGGAAAATCTCCCCAGATTTGTTGTTATGTAAGATTACCTCCAATTATTGCACTATAATTTGTACTAAATTTTTCGATAGAAAAGAATGTTCCAAAAATCTATTGACACTAAACTTTATTTGCACACCGACCTAGATCAAAAGTTCTAATGTGAAATGTGTAGTTCGGATTTTATTTCGTCAGTTAATTAAAATTTGCAATTTAGTGATAATTTTGTTTATTTTTTTCTTAATTGCTTTTTATTTTATTGTACAAGTCTCAAGTTTTTCAAATTTTTTTTCACATTCAATTTTAAAACTATCTAAAAAAATCTTTTTTTAAAAAAAAATTAAGGTCTATATTCAATATGGGTCTTATTTTGAAAATCTCAAAAAAAAAAATGTTTAGTATCATATAACTTTCAAAAGATAATTCAATTTAAAATTTTAACTATATCGCTAACATGTATTTAGATAAAAGTTAAAACATGCTGCATCAAAAATAGTGTAATAGACAATTTATGCCAAATCTGATGCGACATTATTCATTGCACTAAAATAAAACACTGATCTAATGTATTCTTTGAAGTGCAAATTTACACTAAAACACCAATTTAGTATTATAGTGTCTTGGATGGAGTTGCTCTTAGGTCTATTATTTAATGTTGCTCGTCATTTTTTTTAAATATGTCAAGTTAATTCCTGTTATATTCTCAATCCTAATAGCCATGTAATTTAGAGTAAATCCATCCATTACCCTGAATTTGCATCAAATTTAGTGCACAAAAAGAATATTCCAAATATCTTTTCACACTAAATGTGAAAAGAGTAAAGACAGGAATTTAGAGTAAAGACACTCCAACCTTAATACGGAAAATTTTCAAACGTTATAGTTGAAATTATATTTTGATAGTTAAAAATCGTATAGTTTGGTGATAATTTCATTATATAGTTTATTCATAATTATTTAATTTAATTGTAGAAGTATTAATTTTTTTCATATTTAATTTCAAAAAAATGAATATAATTAACTTATAAAAATGAAATAAATATTATAGTCAATATGGGTCTTATTTTGAAGATCCTAACAAAGCCTATAATATGATATAGATTTCATAACAGCATTTATTTTATAAGTTTAATCATATAGCAAATCATCTATTTAGAGCAAAGTAAAAATATAGGGTACAAAGATGGTGCAATTGATAGTTTACACCAAATTTGGTGCAACACTACTCATTATACTAAAATAGTTTATTTAGCTTTTTTGTTGTAGTGCAAACTCTACGTCAAAACACCATATTTAGTGTTTTGGTGTCTTGGTTGTAGTTGCTCGAAATATCGCTATTGATTTTTATGCAATTCTTAAGCGTTGTGTCCTGGTTTAAATGTTATCAAAAGTTAAAATCACACAAATTTAAATAAAAAACACGCACACACTTCAACAACAAAACAGCAAGAGAAGCAGGATCATTTCACAAAAATTACTAACAAGAATGAATAATAAAACCTACCCCCTCTTCTTCCAAATACAATTCTTCCTCATGTCGATCCGCTCCCTTGAATCCTAATCCCAACACAATTATGATTATTCCCCATCCTCCTTCAACGACAACAACGACGATGATGAGCGGCAGCAGAAGAAAGTTAAGAAAGAAAGTTAATCTGTAGAAGGTGTATTTTTTGAGGTTGGGAAAAAGGATTTCAAAGATTAATTTGGGGCATAAAAGTCTTTTTATTTCTTTTAACATTTCTTTTAGAAAAATTAGAAGTCAAATTTTTTTACCGTCAATGCCCTTGTTTAACACATGTGATGCACACATGACTTAACATTGACTAGCCATTTTCTCCCGAAACCTTAATGGAAAACTGAAAAAAAAAATTTAAAAAAAAATTAAAAGTCTACTATTTGGGATCAAAATTTAACATTTTAACTTGATAGTTTTGAATGAATATAATTAGTATTTTTATAGATTTTTGGAGTACTTAACTCTAAATTGTAGAGTATCGTTCATTTAGATACATAATTCAAAGTGATTTATATTTTAAATTAAAGGGCGTAATATAGTTTCAATAAACAAACCCCTAATTTCGAGATGCATGGAACAAAAAGAATACTACTACTAGTCGTTATCGACAGCCTTGATCTGCAGTTTCACATGTGAAATGGTTGAATAGTACCCTGGTACGCAGTATAATTTCAATAAACGAACCCCTTATTTCGATATGCATTGAAAATAAAGAGTACTACAAATTGTTATTGATCGGCACTTTCACATGTGAAATGGTCGAGATTAGCACCATGCTTGTAGTAAACTTCTAACTAACTAATATGCACCTACTTACGCTTAAATTATCGTATTTTTTAAAGATGGTTCTTAGTCCTAGTTCGTAATAGAATTGTCATGAGATTTTATAAATTATTTATATGCGACCGTTATTTTATTTTAGAAAAGTCTTAAGCAATGTCTATTCTATTTTTCTTTTTGTATTAAGAAAATCGATATATTCCAACCAAGTAGCGCCCTTTATTTCACTAAAAAAACAAACTACTTATGCTTAAACTTAGTCCCGCATTTACTGACACTATAGTTAGTAACTTTTCTCTACTTCAAACTAATGCATGCGATTACTTCAATTTGAAAAAACCCACATGGGATATCACGTTATGTAAAGTACCACAACAAAGATGTAGGGGAAGAGATCATAATCACGAAACCAAGTTTCTTCTTTGCTTTCTATCTTTTTTTTAATATTTTTATTACTACATCAAATCATCCTTAC